TACCATACCATACCATACCATACCATACCATACCATACCATACCATAGCAGCGTTATTTATAAAGCACTTTAAACACCCACAGGACCAAAGTGATGTACAGTACACATAATAAAACAATCATACAGTCAGATAATGAAAGTGATTAAAATGATTAAAAGTCAACATTTCAGATGGTGTTAAAGGCCAGGGAGAAGAGATGGGTTTTAAGAAGGAATTTAAAAACAGACAGGGAATGATGTCCAAGGGAAGGTCATTCCACAGTTTAGAAGCTGCCACAGCAAAGGCAAATGTGTGCAGATGAACAGAATACAGGATGGCACAGGAGGAGAATGGACTGCAGAGGGTCATCAAGGCAGAACAGAAGGTCATTGGGTCTGATCATCAGACTATGAGCCACATCCTTGAGACCCCATGTGAGAACAGGGCTAAGACTATATGTGGAGGCCTGATCTACTCTACACACCATCTCTTCGGGCTCTTAGACTTTGGCAAAAGATTCAAGATTGTTCTGTCTCAAAATTCGAGACTAAAGCAGCTTTTTGCCAAGAGCTGTGAGGCCTGTCGCAATAAACAATAAATCAATAAATCAATAAATCAATTAATTGTCCGCCATTTTGAGAACTGAAACGAGACAGCCCATGTCACGTCAAGGGGCCTCCCTCCCATTTTTCTTAAAGAGACACGCTGCTCGCTCCCTCACTATCCATCCTTCGGTTCAAACTGTCTTATACTGCCATACGGTGGTTGAAAAAAGCTACTACATGCAAAACAAATTAAACATTTCTTCTAAAATTTGACAATAATTACTAATTAAATTAAATTAAATTACTAAATTAAATTTGACGATAATTACTAATTATCGTCAAATTTCAGACAATATTATCGTTTATCGTAATAATTTCCGAGACAATTAATCGGCCAGCAAAATTTGTTATCGTGACAGGCCTAGCTGTGAAAACCTAAAACGAACTATAGGACCCTGACACACACACACACACTTTCTTGAGATTACAAGTGTAAAGTTGTTTGCGTGTTATTGTTCTAACATCTGTTTGTCATGATTAAAAATATTGTTTTCTTTCTTTCGGAGATCGGAAACACTGTAGTATATTTGTTGAAGTGGTAATCCTAACAACAACCATGCAGGTCTCAAAAAGCTCTCCGAATCAACACCACTATTCCGGATGATGTAACGGTACGCTTTTGTGATGAAGCCTCCTTTGCAGCCAAGGTTTCCATCCTCTGTGCTGCAGTCCACCAGGTTCTGTGGACTCAGAGTGACGAGGACCCGCGTTTTCTTCTTTATTTGCCCCTCAAGGGCCCCTAAAGAGCCTAAGGCCCAGCATGAGCCACACAATCCCTAAAAACAGACAAAAATAAGTTCAGCCTGAGCTGTTTTCACTACATCATCCTTTTTTATTTATTTAAGTACCGTATTTTTCGGACCGAATTATAAGGCGCATTAATCGAAACTAAACAGTCAGAAAAGTCTAACTTTATTCAGCTCATTCACAATAATGCAACTTTGTTCAGTTGTACCACATAAAATCGGTTCAAGGTCAGTAAGCACATCCAGAATTGATACATAAGGCGCATTGGATTATAAGGGTCACTGTCAGTTTTTGAGAAAATGAATATATTTTAAGTGCGCCTTATAGTCTGAAAAACACAGTAGCTGATTCTCACCTGGTTCCCGACAGGTCCAACTAGACCGTTTTCCCTCCGGTCCACACTCGCTGGTATTGATAGTCCCGTCGTGTCTTTAAACATGTCATTCCTAAAATTAGGAGGCTCCTCCAGCTTCAAACAGTTTAACCTTCCATTGATCTCCTCAGCGGTCTTAAAGCAAGTAAGAAAAGATGAAAAGCTCATGTGACAACACATTTGAAAGCTCCGATGAATCACAGGCCTGTGCAGACGAGCAGAAAATAACATTTTAATAGGTTTTAGAGAGAAAAAGGTTTGTAAACTCAATCATCCAGGTAGATGAATACAAAAAGGTTAAATCGTGTCATCTGGGCAAGTTTCTTTTAGGGACAAATTCAAAAAGCGTTCAATACAAAACTTTTAGGGAGAAACATTTTGTCTTTCATTCACAAGACTTCAATCTGCAGCCTCTCAACTCAACTTCACCACTTGCTCTCGCCGAGATCAGATGCTTCTCCCCTCCCTCTCCGCTTTGCTTTGCTGCTCTGTCTGTCTGTGAAACTGCTTCTGAGCCTCTCTTGCATTTCTTCCGAACCATAATTATGGACTTGTTGGTCCCTCAACTCAATTTACAACATTTCTTCGAAGAGAAGACAGGCTTTAGGCGAGCCAATTTGCCCTGTTGGCACGCACGCAGCTGGATATCTCATCGACTGGAAGACTTGATGATGTGTCTATCTCTGCTGCCATTTGTGGATTTTAAGGACACATATTTAATTGGATTTTTGATAATTGGTTCCTGCTTTTTGGATTCAACTGGTGCTGATTTTATCTACAATCAAGGAAGTCGTTGGCAGCAAATTTGGACCCGATCACGCTGCTTGCCTTTATGATGGCTTAGTTTGTGTCTCGAGTACCCAGACTCAAATGCTTTGGGCTGAATGGATCAGATCTTGGGGATTTTACTCAGTCACGTTCCATCGGTGTGGCCATGTAATTTGGACATTTCAGAACCAAGTGGACCAACATAGACTCAATGTAGATGTCAATAAGTTCTACCTGTCCCCAAAACAACTGTGTGTTTATCTGAATTTGTCTCCCTTGGCTGGTCTTGAAGATCATCTTATCTGAATTCGCCTGGAGAACATGTGATCTGACGCTCACCACACCCCTCCCTGAGGAATTTCCAACTGATAACCAGATGAAACCAGCTGAATAAACTTGTGTCATCATTTCAGGACTCTTGGATTCTCATAGACATTATTCTTGGCCATTCCTCGACATCCCTCGAGAATATTTATGATCTCACCAGAGGACATTGACTGATTATTCCACCCTTATCAGAACTCTTACAGTGACCTCGAGAGCATCTATGAACATTGCTGACCACTCTCGTCTCCCCCGTTTGCAGATTGTTTATGTAAATATGTGCTTGTTTGTGCGAGGTGGTTTTTTTTTTATTATTAGAGGGTTTTTTTTCCTCAGGCAGGAAAAAAAAACCTCTAATAGGATTTTTTTCGCCTCTAACTCCTACATGTGTCCAGTTAAACACGATTTTTGTCTGTCCAAACAGGTCTCACTTGTAAATGAGTCTTTGAGGCTCAATGTGATTTATCTGTTTAAATAAAGGTTGAACGAAAAAAAGATCTGTCTCATAAATAGCCCTCATTGATGCTTCAAGCCAGCCTCCTGTTGAATTCCCAGAAACTGACTTTACACATGTAAAAAGGGAGGTTTTAAGGTTTTAATAGAGTTTTTCAAAATGTTTTTAAGAGATTAAAATCAACAGGAGGGCAACTGTGACCTTGAAATCAGCTATTTTACTTCAGATGTAGGCCTGTCACGATAACAAATTTTGCTGGGCGATTAATTGTCTTAGAAATTATTGCAATAAACGATAAGATTGTTTGAAATTTGACAATAATTCGTAATTATTGTCAACTTTAAGAAGAAATGTTGGTTAACATTTGTGTGTAGTACCTTTTTGTGACCACTGGATGGCAGTATAAAACTGTTTGAACTGAAGGATGGATAGTGAGGGAGCAAGCAGCGTGTCTATAAGAAAAATGGGAGGGAGGCCCCTTGACGTGACATGGGCTGTCTCTCATTCCTTTATTCGGTTCTCATAATGGTGGACGCTAGGTGTGGTTTGAGCTCTTTGGCATAGAATTTTTCACACAAAGCTTTTAATAAAAATAAATAAATCAGTAACCAAGTTCTAAGCTTTTTTTGCAGAGAAAATCTATTTTTTACACGAAGGCACGGGTTTCAACTGTGAATTTTGGAGCTTTGACAAGACAGAGGTTTTTTTTCCCAAGGTTGGCCTGTTAGCTTAGCTCGTAGCTTAGCTTCTCAACTTAGCTGCTTTTAACAATTCAAAAACGCAATTTTGGACAATTAGTACTAACATTTTGTTCTTGTTGCAGTTTTGGTTAAGTTTCAATAAAAAACAAAAAAATTAACTTTTTTTTCCTCTGCAGCATGTTTATGTTATTATTCTTAAGTGAAATCTATTGATGATAGTTTTTGCCTTTCTTCTTATTCTTCTCTGAATCCTTTACCTCAGCAATTTACGATACAAGTAACCGTCATGCTGCAAAATAAAGAACTGGGTTTTTATTAGGTTAGGTTCATATTCCTGAACGGTGATGTTCGTCTCCAAAGCGACTGAAACGCACCGTCGGTCCACGAGCCAAAGGCTTGTGAGCTTTCCAAACATTTCTGCCAGATTCCTGCAGAGATTTAACACGCCCATCCAGGTTCTTCTGCTCGGGCTTCCTGTAGTCTTCATGGACAAAATAAACACCCTCTTCTGAAATTCCCTTCCATTTCATGCTTCTTCACTAAACATTTTGTTAAACATTCGTACTTGTGCAATAATAGCTTTCTCTCTATGGCCTTTGTCTTTTTTTTTTTTTTAGTGCATGCTATTTTATGAACATCTCGTCGCATTTGTTTTACTTTGAAGTCATGTTAAGTTCAAATCCCTGAAATTATTTGTTAATTCCAGGTGTTAAATAATAAATTCTAATGAATTAATGGAAAAAAGTTAGTGTAAAATCATATAAAATCAACCACCATCAAACATTCTTAGAAAATGAACATCTGCACAGATAAAATACAAAACGTTTGAGTTTTAATATCCACAAAAACCGTTCCGGACACTTTCCAAAAAAATTAGAATATCATGAAAAAGTTGTTTATCTTCCATAATTCCATTCAAAAAGTTAATCTTTAATAGATGATAGATTCAACGCCCACAATTGAAACAGTTTCAAGTATTTATCCCATCCACACTTTCTAGCTCGTCCTGGGCGACCTCAAGACGTTGGAGGCCAGAGAAGATGCACAATCCCTCCAGCGAGGCTGAGGCCAGCCACCCGGTGAAGGAAGCTCATTTCAGCCACTTGTAACCGAGATTTTGTTCTTTCGATCAAGATCTAAACCTCATGACCATAGATGAGGGTTGAAACAAAGACAGACCAGTAAATTGAGCTTTGCTTTTCGACTGAGCTCTTCCTTCACCACGACTGACCGAAGCAACACTCTCATTATTGAGGATGTGGCCCCAATCCATCAATCCATCTCCCACTCCGTCCTATCATCCTATAAGATACTTGAAGATACTTCACTTGAGGCAAAGGTTTCCACAGGGTCTAACAAAATATGGATACTGTATCCAAAAACTTTGAACCAGGACAAGCAACCAAACGCACCAAATAATAAAAATAAAACTGACAGAGTATGCACAATTTAACAAAAATACTGCATATTTTCTTCTCTCAAATGACGAGAAACTATATTTCTTGGCCACACTGTTTAGTGCTGACACATCACTGCGAGTCTCTGCATTCTTGACTTACTCTTTCTTGAATGTGGTATTTCTACCAGTAGTACTGTTATTTACTAAAAACAAACAAAGTGTCTTTAACAAACTCACATAAAATATGAATAAAATGACACTAGCGAGAAATAAATCAAAACCCAGCACCATAAAGTTGATAAACATGCAACGTGGGGCTTGAACCTTCATGTCAAAGAAGGAAATTATTTTTTTTATGCAGCTCAAAAGAGAAACGTTTCACTCTCATCACTGAGCCTGGATCAGTAAATCTTCTTGTTTCCTCTCATGGCCTTTTTGGAAACCAGTTTCTCCTGTGTGGTGGCTGTGCCTCGTCATGTGAATCTAACCAGCTGCAGAGACCAAAATAACCTTCCAGTCATTTCGGCGCAGTGAACAAAAGTTAAAGTAGGAAATTACACATGAATTTAACAATTTATTTTAATGGGAATTCCCAACGACAAAGAAATCTGATAGATTTAAAAGAAGGAACACAAATATATAATGTTTTTTACATTTTAAAAGTAAACTGTCTCATGTTTTTGTTTTTTAATCACTGTAATGCAACTTTGATTGGTGATATGTGCTGCTGATCTCATGCTGCTGATCTCATGCTCCTGATTATTTCACGCTGCTGTGTTCATTCATCCATACTCATCTGCTCACACAGACTCATGTTCGTGCTGCTGTTGTTCGGAGTATTGTTTTGCACTATTTGTGATTAGCGTATTTCTTAGATCCTTATTTACTGTTTCTTTTATATTTTTGCTGTTGATGGATGCAACTGGGATCTGGAGGACACTATTTCGTTCCACCTCATGTACCACATGATGTGAACGACAATAAAGAAACTTTGAACCTTGACACTGAACCTGTTTTGACAATATAAGTTACGATATGTAGAAGAAATATGAGGAAACAAGAAACCACAATTAGCATTTACTGTACTACGATTTAATTTAGATGAACAGTTTTATACTTTAAATTTGTTAAAAATGTCTCTGGAGTTTGAACTTTATGAAGCTTCTTCCTTGCATTAAATTTTATTCAGCTTTTTTTGTTAACGTTTTGTGATCTTATAAAATTCAATGTTTTTTTTTATATTGTCACTAATCCGAGTGTAAATTATCCACAAACAAACAATGACAAAATACCTTTAGGGTGGGGGGAGGGGGATTAAAAGTTAGAAATTTAGTAGCAGTAGGTGAAATAATTAGTGTTTTATATTTTAGTTCCAGCTCAGTTTGTTGTACATCCCATGCTTTCTGTTTTCTGCTCCCAGTTTACTGTACTCCTTGTTGCAAAACCCCATAAAGTCCAGACGTGGCACAGCGGTCTCCACCAACAGGAGGCAGCTCTGATCAAACATTCATTATGAGAAAATTACACATTGATGAACTTTGGCGCACACTGCTGCTAGTGTTCACCTCTGATCCTTCCCCCTTCCTGAATCTGGGTTTTGGAGAAGAAATTTGCTGATGAATGCAGGTTCCCCGAGGGACAGGACCAGATGGTGAGTTTCTGACTCAACACGAGCTTATTTTCTGTGTATCAACGTAACAGAAAGACACCTGAACATATTTATTAGCTTTTCTGAGCTATTCCATTAAATACACTTCACCAAATAGTAACTAATATGACATTAAAAGACAATGACAGACACTGAAAACAATTCCAGTAGTTAGTTATTAGTTTCACAGATGTCTGAGAGTGAAGCTCATGTTAAATTCAGTTGATTCAACTCATATTATTCTGCTTCCTGCATTTCTTCCATTTATTTACATTATGGCTCTATTAAGTCTTGGAAGTGGTTAATATTTAACTAATTGAATATTAAATATTTGACAGCAGTAGCAATGTGAATGTAATAGGCAACTAAAATCAAATAAAATTATTTCTGACCCTCTCTGTACTTCTCCATCAGCATCCTTGAAGCAACGATGACATCTGTGGTGCTCTCTCTCTCTGCATGAAACCATACTGCTGCTCACAGATAGTCACCTGTCATCCAAGTCTTTCTTCCACACATCTCTCCCAGATCTTCATCATGTGGCTCATCAACTTAATTCCGCTGTAGTTGCTACAACTCTGTGCATCACCCTTGTTCTTAAAATGAACAGCAAAACACTTCTTGTCCATTCCTCAGGCATTTTCTCACCCTTTTTCAAATACGCCATTGAATATTTGAGTCAAAAACCTCACTGCCGTCTCTCCAAGACATTTCCAAACCTCCACTTGTATGTCATCAGGGACTTTCTCTTCATCATTCATTTCAAAGCTTTCCGAAATTTATCTCCACTAATCTTTCCCACTTCCTGGTCCACAGTTTCTATGACCTCTACTCTTTTTCCCCTTTCATTCTCTTCATTCATTAGCTCCCCAAACTACTCCTTCCATCTTCCCGTCACACTCTTCTCACTTGTTAGAACATTACCATTCCCATCTTTAACAAGCCTAACCAGCTGCACATCCTTTCCAGCCTGATCCCTCTGTCTCGCCAGTTGGTACAAGTCCTTCTCTCCCTTTTTAGTCCAGCTTCCCATTCAATTCAGCACACGCCTTCTGCTTTGCCTTAGCTACTTCCCTCTTTGCTCTACATCCCATCTCCTTATATTCGTGTCTCCTCTCTTCAGTCCTCTCACTGTCATAATTCTTTGTGGCTAATCTCTTTTTTTTTTTTTAACAGCATCCTGTACTTCACTATTCCACCACCAGGTTTCCTTATCATCCATTCTCTGTCCAGATGACACACCAAGTAACTACCTGTCTCTCTAATTACTGTTGCTGTAGTAGTCCAGTTATTTGGAAGCTCTTTCTTACCACCTAAAGCCTTTAACAGCTCCTCTCTGAATTTCTTACAACATTCTTCCTTTTTCAACTTCCACCGTTTGGTCTTCTTCTCTAATTTTACTCTTTTTCTCTTCTTCACAACAACAGTTATTCTACACCCAACCATCCATGCTTTCTCACCAATATGTCCATTCAGGTCTACTCCAATCACCACTTTTTCCTCCCATTATTATTATTATTATTATTATTACATTACCCATTAAAAATACATATCAAGCCATAAAGGGCTGAAAAGCCTAAATTACAGCATACAGCAGTTTAAGGTCAATTAAGTATGGGTTTTGGGCAAAACTAGGGTTAAGATTATTGGGTAAGATTATAGATTAACAGATTCTAAACAGTACCACCTGAGGACAACAAAGCTGTACAAAGTAATCCATAGTTGACAGGCTGACTGAACATTGTTTGGTTAGACTTTAATGTTATTTGAATTTTTGCACAATTTTAAAGGTTACGGTACCGGCAAATTATAATAATTTCCTTAATCCATCTTCTTTACTTTGTTTAGTGTTGCTGTGTCTCTATAGAAGTGGTTATGAGTATTTGGTTGGTTCATCTAATTTTAGTTAGTTAAGATGAGACTCTGAAGTCATTCCCTCCCCCCAAAAATAAAGATAAAATAACGTAAATTGCTGTTCAAAACTTCACAGCTGAAGCTGCCAAACTCTGTCCAGATGGTGCTGATTCATTTTTTGTTTAAATCACAACACAATAAAGAATGATACAGAAATCCTCGTTCACAATATTTTTTTTTATTTTATTGAGTTTAGTTGTGTTAAAAGACTAATTTATAACATTTAGCAAAAATTCACCAATATTTTAATATAGTATTAAACAAATGTTTGTGCAAAACAAAATCTTGAAGATTTTGTGACTCAAAAATTAGTATTATATATATATATATATATATATATATATATATATATATATGGGCTCTGCTTCCTTCCCATCAGGTAACTCTGCATTTGGCTGACCTGCATCCTGCCCTCCAGTGCTACGTGTTGGAGGGGGTCCAGCAGCTTGTGCATATAATCCTCCAGCATGCACCGAGAGCTGCAGCATCATGCTTCCTCCAGAGTTCATGTTCCCAGAAAGGAGGGGATGAAGCTTTGTTTATTTCCTCAAACTGCCTTTGAATTACCTTCATCTACCCTAAATGTGTTCAGGAGGAGAAAACAAGAACAGAAGAAATTTGAAAAGAGAAAAATCAAAATGACAAACCCTTCGTTCTGAAGAGGTGAGTTTACTTGTGTTTGCATTGCTTTCTTTCATAATGACTGTAATTATGTGAGTTTTTTGTTATTTGTGACTCATTGTTCTGCTTTTACCTTTGAGCACTATGTTCAGTCATTTGAATGTGATCTGCTTCAGGAGTTTGATAAGAGCCCTCCTCCATTATTTTCTATTACCAGCAGTTAGACCGCACCTCATTACAAATAACAGCCCCAGGATTATTCTTTGTCTGTCAGAGAAACAGGCAACACCAACCTGTTCCTCTAAGAACTGTTGGCAGCATTCAAGGCTACCAGCATCTTCAAATCAAATGCTGTGTGACAAATGTTATGTTCCACAACAAAACCAATAAGTCTGCTTCCTATTTTTCATTTATCACTGCTCTATCATAAATGAATCATTCGTCTGGGAGTTTTTCTAGCAGGCTGCAGACTCTGCTGCAACCTTAAATAGTGTGGAAGTGGAGCATCACACTTAAATGTGTCATTTTCCTCTTGGCATTGCAACAAGTCACACATTTTCTGATGAGCAGGATCCTCACAGACCTACAGCTTGTTTGTCATCTGAGAATGGTGTTGTCATGTATTTTTTTAAAGTGTTTCTGTTCGTGCACATGCAAAAATCACAGTAAAGTGGACATTTTTAACAGCTCTTCATGGCAGCAAATGAAAACTAATGTGCAAATAAAGCTTTGCTTTTTCTGCCCTCTTATGGTGGATTTAGCAACAGCACGAAATTAATAACTCCTTTTACAGCATGTCTTTCTTTACGTGGTCACATTTCTAGGAATAGCAATGCCACAGTGTGTGTAAAAACACTCTGGTTGCTTGAGCATGCATCAAGATACTCTGGTTGCTTATTTTTAACTCATTTTTGGTCTGTGAATAGAAGATTACATCAAACTGTGTAAATTCTGTGGCTGCAGATATTTCTCGTTGTAATGCTATGAAAAAAAAGGATATTTAATGACAAATACTTTCAAAACTTTTTAAAAAGGTGACATGTGGATTTGCTCAAAATACATTAAAATTACATAAACATTTTTTATTGCAGAATATGTAATGGTTATGGGTTTTTGTGTTAATGTTAGAGTATTTTCTGTTATGTTCTTGTTGTATTTAGTTGTAATCAGTTCAGTTGGTGGCTTTTCTTGTGTTATTTGCTACGGTTTCCCTCACTCACCCTGATTTTCAGTCACTGACACACCTGCCTGGTGTGTTTTAATCAGCCCATCTGCACTCACTTTGTAATCACCCCTTCTTGTATACACACTCTTCAGAGTCTTCATCCTATTGCCAGCGCTTCCTCTCACTGACACTGGTTTTCTCATGTATGAAAAAGTGCACAACTTTCATACTGAAAGTTGGATTATGGACAAAAATGTAAAAAGTGCACAAAAATGTTCAGACTGAGGAAGCCATGCATTTTTCTGCACACCTTTCCTCCATATATCAGAATCAGAATAAGCTTTTTTATCATTGCACCGAGATACAACGAGAACATGTACATGCAGTCGTCCGGAAGATGGACAGAGTGCACGAAGCTGCTACTGCTCTGAGCGCGGCCTCTCTTATCCTTATCAGAATAATAATCTTAGATAGGAAAAGGGGCAGAAACATGAGGGTAGATAGTGGTATTACAAAAAAGATCTTTCACATCTTGTGTATCAGGACACGATTTGAGACATCAAAAAAACTCTACCAGCAAGCACAATTAAAACATGAGTACATTTGCATTTGACATCGAGGTGTTGAGATTTGCCCATGAGCGTTTTTTTCAGATCAGCCACAGTTTCTGAAGATGTTGTTTCAGCCAGCAGTTCAGATAAACTTGCACACAAAGATCTCTGGGGGGGATAGATGAAGCTTTTGTCCTTGGTTACCCATGACCCAGGAGAAATTTGATAGTCGGCCCGTCTCCGAGGCTGTCGGGGAGTCAGATTCAGATAAGCTTGCTTGTTGCTTTTCTTCAGGCAGACAGATTTTTTTCTTCAGCATTGAGTCCATCTGGACGTTCTGGTTCCGAAATGGCCTAATTGTGGGGTTCCATTCCACTGATCCATGCTACGAGTCTCCCTCAAGGTCGAACCCACCACGCTGACGAGTCCCAGAAGCCGCAGGTGGTCTGCGATTCTCATAAATCGCCTCCACCTTACGGTTAGCTCATAAACCAGATGATTTAGAGTTCCTACAGCATGGACCAAACCTTCACACTGACTCGGAAGCTTTGCCAAGGCCGAAACTGCTGCCGATGTCTTCTTCAAAAGTCGATAAAACAGAGCCCTGCCGCTGCCTAAAAGCAGAGATCCTGCTATCATAATTCAAAATATGTAAATGTCTTCAGCATCCTCCTGAGACAGGACTGAGAGGCACATCAGCTGCCACACTGCCCACGGATCCATGACGTACCCCACAGCATGCATCTCAGCTGGACACACCGGTTCTCCAGGACCTTGTCGCTTTGATGAAAAAATCTTATCAAGAGAGTTGAACGCCCACGACACCAAATCCATAATGTTCTTAATTTATGTTCGGGAGATGAGAACCAGGCACTTCAGACACACAGAGAGAAGAGCAGGAGGAACGAAAAACGGAGGAGGAAAGACAGAAGCTGCCACCTCGATCAAGAGCCAGGGAGGGAAAAAATAAATAAATAATAAAATAAAAAAAATAAAAAAATACATATATACGTATATATAAATGCTGTTATTGCAGCAGAATACAAATTTCTGTTCTTGCCTGAATTTTTTTTTAAAAGTGGTCCAACCTTGAAGTTGATGTCAAGAAACGAGTCGCTGCACATCGACTAAACGTTTCAACCATGATTTAGGGGAATTTGATATATGGAGCATCATACAGACGAGGTCATCCTTATTTGGCTGGCACAGTACTGCTCAGGTACTATGGTGAAATACCTCAGGTCAACAGATTTACTCAAGAGATATTACCCCCATTCCCCCTTGGTGCTGCCCATGCCTATAACCTCATGCAACACACTAAAAGAAAAAGATCAACCCAACCTAAAACTGCATCTGCCAGTGAATTGATGCTCTTTCCACATTACTTTTTTAGTCCACAGTGAGATGTTTACAGTGAAGTAGGCTCTCCATATGAAGCCACCCCTGCAGTGCCAGTTAACGCTCTCTTCATCCATCTCCTGTCAGAAAGAACAGATCAAATAAGAGCACACTGAGTTTGCAACCTGCTCTTGTTTTTAGTGCTTTCACATTTATTCCTGCACAAGCTGTCAAGGTAAAATAAAATCATCCACAGACCGGCAGTATCGAAGAGCTGCAATCTGTACTAGATCACAACTCCAACACACAAGCACACACGTATATGTGCATATGCGTTTACATATATAAATGATATTTCAGATAAATTAGAAGAGCACAATCACAAAGTGCTGTACATATAAGTGAAGCCCATCAAACAAGTATAAACTGGCATTGACATTTATATTAAAATAAAACATTGAGCTTGTTTGTTTTTCAGTGTTTTAATGTCTGAAGAGACAGAACCTCCACCTCCAGCTGTCTGATTATTAAAAAATAAGTAATTTTTTTTAAGTCAAGACGTAAAAAAAAAATCATTTTGCACATGTTTTAAGTTCCATGCAGAAAAATGCAATTGAAAAAAAAGGGCCTTTAACACATTCATGAAAACTAATCATGTCTCATTAAAAACAGATAAATAAAAGATATTTTGATTGGAAGAGGAGGAAGAGGAAGGGAGACACATTTTCATGCAGTAATAAATGTTTCATGAATCTCACGCTGTGTTTTCCTCCGCAGCTGTTCTTCCTTCACACAGGCCACCAGATGGTTGAGGGGACCGCAGCCCACCTATGGATGAGCTGGACAACTTTCTGCCTGCTGGCTGCTGGCGTGACGTTAACGTCTGAAACCCTCAGGCTGTGTCCACCAACCTGCCGCTGCAACATCACGACCCTGGAGGTGAACTGCTCCAGTGGTCAGCTCACCAGTATACCCAGTGGTCTCCCCTACGAGTCGAAGCTGCTCAACCTAACTCACAACATGATTAAGACTCTTGTGCATCAGCAGTTCCACAATCTGACGCAGCTGTTGCACCTCGATGTAAGCGACAACCTTTTAACGCTAGTTGAAGTGGAAGCCTTCCTCGGCCTGCACAGCCTGTTGACGCTGCGCGTTCCTCGTAATCGCCTCGAGGTTATTTCAGTGGGAGTGTTTGCCGGATTGAGGAACTTGCAGTTACTGGACATAAGCAGCAATAAGATTCTTGTGTTGCTAGATTTTACCTTCAGGGACTTGGCGTCCCTGGAGTTCTTCGCAGCAGATGGGAATGACTTTGTTTTCATTTCTCCTCAAGCTTTCACTGGGCTGTCCAGTTTGAAGAAGCTGGAGCTCGATGGGCGTAATCTCACTGCCGTGCCAACAGAGGCGCTCGCCCAGCTGAGTGAGCTCAGAAGCTTTCATCTTCACCAGCTGGACCTCACCACATTGCCAAACTACTCGTTCCGATCCCAAGTGCGCCTCAAGGAACTTGTCATTTCTCATTTCTCCAGGCTGAAGACTCTGTCAGGAAACAGCCTCTTTGGCCTCAATCTCACCTCCTTAACCATCCAACACTGCAACCTCAGTGACGTTCCTTACACCCCTTTACATCCCCTGGTATATCTCATCTACCTTGATCTTTCTTTTAACCCAATCACCTGCATTCAAGGGAACCTGCTCGGGGATTTACTCCGGCTCCAAGAGTTTCGCCTGGTCGGGGGTTCATTGACATGCATCGAGGGCGGCGCGTTCAAGGGTTTGGCGCATTTAAAAGTGTTGAACGTCTCCACAAACCGTCTCACTACGCTCGAGGTAGAATCGTTTCATTCAGTGGAGACCCTGAAAACTTTGGGGCTCAGTAACAACCCATTAGCATGCGACTGCCGTTTGCTTTGGGTGGTGCAAAGACAGCAGTACATGGAGTTTGACGGGCAGCCGCCAGTTTGCTCTGCCTCCGTCCAGCTGCAGGGCTGGAGTTTTTTAGACTTCCCCGAGAACGAGCTCTCACATCTTCTCACCTGCCGTCTGCCGCAAATTCTAAACCCCAAATCTCAACAAGTGAGAGTGGATCAAGGGCGCACTGCAGCGTTTCACTGCAGCGCAGAAGGTGACCCTCAGCCATCTGTCAGCTGGCTTAATCCTCAGCTAAGGCACATTTCAACCACAGGTAGAATACGCGCTCTGTCTAATGGTTCTCTGGAGGTTCGCTACGCTCAGCCTCTTGATAGTGGTACTTATATCTGCGTGGCATCAAATGCAGCAGGAAACAATAGTCTGCCCTTCAAACTTTCTGTTCAAGCTCTTCCATCGTCTTCAATAAGCCTTTTTCGTCCTAAAAGTTGGTCTGCCTCTCCTTCTGCTTCTCCAGGTGAGGCTCAGAAGCTCCCGATCGACATGAAGACGTTACTAATAGCAGCGACGATTGGGTTTTTCTCCTTCTTCAGCTCAGTGACAGTTTGTTTCATTTTCATGTTCTTCTGGAGTAAAGGCAAAGGGCAAATCAAACATACCGCCACGATCGCGTACGTGCCACGAAGCGCCGTGTCCAACAATAATACAAGGACAGGAAACTACAAGGAGCCCGGCAGGTTCACCATGAAGCTAATATGACGCCATTTGTTAAAGGCAAGTTTTCACTCGTGTGGATTAGGAGCTAATGGACTGAACTTTGTGACTTTTATCTTACAGAGTGTGACTTTTGATCATTTAAATTAACATGAGCAAGTTACAGATATTATAAGGATTTGAAATTATTTTTAAAGGAACATTTTGACTGAGCTTGATTTCATTTTAGACACTTTAATGGGACACAATCTGCACTTTAGCAAAGATGGAATGCACAATAATCTAACTGCACTGACTGCATGTGAAATAAATAAAACGAGAAAAACTGAACACATCAGAACTGCTTATTGCTTGTATGCCTCATGTTTGTGTGTTTCAGCAAATTAGACATGCCTGCTTGATTGATTTGTTTTGTTTAAGTGGTCTCTAAAGCACAAATGACAGAACAGAAACTGTAATTATGTGCTAATGTACATCTCAGTGAAGTAAAGTAGCAATGGGGATAATAACTATTTAGCTTTTGAAAAAATATATAATATCCATTATTTCTCAATGATTTTCATTTTTCAGGACTTGCAATATGAAATGTTAAGTTTAATAACTGGTTGCTAAAGAAAAAGTAAAATTTTATAATGTGTAAGACTTTTTTTGTACAGTGGGTTAATTAAAAAATTAGCTTTAATAATGTCATGTTTTTGTTTGTTTTGTTTTGACATAAAGAGTTTTCATGTGTTTACCACAAAGCTGATTATTAAGATTACATCATTTAAAAAGGAGTCACAAGGTGAAAAAGACTGAATTAGGCTTAAAAATTTGTGTATATAAACTTTTTTTTAGTAAATTTACTTTTGTTACAAATTTGCTGAGGATGGTCCAAGACCTCCACCAGTGAGTGGAGCTAAAGCTGCACACATGGTAAGTAAACACCACATAAGATTTCAACAGTACACTGATGATGACACGGGTGCTAAACGTAAATGATGTTGTTGCCATGGCAATGCATTAATTCTGCCAGTGTGGAGCACAAGTTGAAAAGGCCTAACTGGTTTCCATAACAACGTTAAATACAGGCCACAAACACAATAAAAGATGCTTTCCAAGTGAAGGGTAGATATCTCTGAATGAGGGATGCAACAACTAAACCTCACCTCATTGGGTGTTTAAAGACAACTATTTGTTTTTCTATTGCAAGGTTGGTCAAATGATGTGTTAAAGAGCACAATATTATATATTAAAACATGTGCTAACATCAAAAGAAGCCAAGTTCACAAGAATTATTTGTCACCTTTTTTTCAGGCAAGTTTTTTTCAGTTTTTTTTTTTTCAAATGGTAATTTGGCACTGCCATAAGCACACACTATTTTTTACCCCAGATTTGCCTGATAATGATATTTTAATGAAGCCTTGCTTATGAAGTTTTCAGAATATGAGCAACGTTAAACCAGAAATTTGTTTTATGCCACTGCAACGTGAGGGAAAAAGTCTATCTCAACACATGGGAATAAATAAATAAATAAATAAATACATAAATAAATAAATAAACAAATAAATACCTAAAAAATATGGATTTTAAAAATTCTAATATATTGCAGTCATTTATAAAAAAAACACTTAATGAAACCTTTTGAGTTAAGTACTTAATTTAATACATTTTTTTATTACATTCCTGGTTATAAAAGGAATAGGTAAAAAATACACAAACAAAAACTAATCTAGGTGTTCAAGTTTCCCAACCAATAAAATCTCCTAAAAAGCATCATGTCATCTATTATTTCATATATATTTTTTAATCCGTTTAAATCATTCAGGATTTAGAATTGTTTCACGATGTAAAAAAAAAAAATCTGGTATATAAATATATATTAAAAAATAAAGTAAAATGATTTTTTTCATAATTAGATTTTCTTTTTGGCACACATCTAATCCCATCATATTTTCTCAGGCAAAAAAAACATCAACATAACAAAGCGGGGAATGCTTTTATTTTGAACTCAACAATCTATGGTAACCCGGAAGTGCAGGTTTTGCCCCGGATGTCATTGTTTTAGTTTTAAACCGGAGTTAGCGGTTAGCTCACGCATCTTTAGCTTGCACTACTACTATAACTACTAAACGAAACAGTATTTTACATTAAAGTACCGTAGAATTGTAATACATTTGTATCAAAAAATAAATATGGCCAATATCCGACAGTTTATTCTACGCAGGGAGTAACGCGGGATAAAATGTAACTATCGCAAAACAAGCTAAGTTCAGTTAGCGCTACTTAGCCATTTTACAGCCATGAGTTTGGCTGTCGGACGCGAACCCAGAAAGACTGCGGGGAACCGCATGTCTAAAATACTTGATGCTGAAGAAGAGGATGAGTTTTATAAGACCACATATGGAGGCTTCCAAGACGTGAGTAATTAACAGACACGATAAGTTAGCATGATCGAGCTAGCAGATGTAAACATTTTGCATTCAGTCTACAAAATGTAAATCTTCAGCAGTTCTCTGCCTACACTTTACATTCTGACTTATGTTAATAAGAATTTGGTTGAAAAGTTGATCTAAGTGTAAAATTTAGCGTTGTGTTTTAATATGACAAATGTTCAAATTTTGTTTACAGTCATTAGTGGAGGATAATTATATATAAAGTTTTTAACACAGAATATATGAAATTAGATTTCAAGAAACGTAAAAATTCCAATTTGTATAGAAAATACATGGTTTAACTTAAAGACAGACGTATTATATTAGATTATATATTACATTTGTTTTGACAGTTGGCCTCTCATCGCTATTGATTTATCACAAATATGATCAGTGATGAAATAATGACAGATTTGTAATGGTTTTGTAAATCAGACTTTTCTTAATTTAATGGCTACTTCATGTGCTTGTAAAAGTTATATTAAACACTTTCAAGGAAAAGCACAAAATCAGATTCATTGTACTTTAAAAAAAAAACTTCAACAAAATTCAGATTTGTTAAATAACTCAAGTATTAGTCAATCCTAAATGTACACTTACTGTACATATATAAATATTGATATTAGAAATTACTTCTTGGTTTTCCAGAACAAGAAAAGTTTTTCTTCTGACTTGTATGTATCATTTTAAGTCTTTAGCTTTTAAGGTAGCAAAAATGTCCTGCTTTGTGTATTCTCCTTTTTAAAAATTCTTTTAACGAGGAGCACACTGACACTAATTGACTGTAATATGACTTTTTTCCCCATAACTTTTCAGCATCCAACTCCTGCGACTCATCTAGTGTGACTTTTGACTGAAAAATGTTGTTTGTTCTGAAAATCGTGTCTGTTAGATGTGACAAAAAGAGGACGGAATGAAAGCAACTCTTCTTCCTGCTTCACACCCAAAAAAAAAAAAGACTAATAATTAAACTGTTAGTCAGACTCAGAACATTACACCTGATTGTAAAATGTTAATTTCTTTCTGTGATTTGGCTCATCATCTTTAGACAGCTGCTGGTTCAAAGATCAACTTGTGTGTGGGGGTTTGGCAGCGCCGGCTCTCAGTTCTGACAAGAAAGACTTGACAGGAAGGGAAAAAAGACATCTCAGTCATCACTACTAGGACTGGATATAACTGTGACAGTTCCTGTGTGTTTAGTTTTGCATAGCCAGCCTTACAGCACCTAACCCTCTCCATCTTATTTTACCATTGTGGAAACAGGAAACAATGCTTTGCTTTGTTAGATTTTCTGCAGCATGCTCTGTCTGTAAAATGGGTTATTTTGGAGATGCTGATTTTTGTACACTTGCAAGAACAACCCAAGAAATGTGAGATATGTAGCTATTAATATCCAGTCAGGCAGCCCAGCTCTGTCGTTTGTTCCAGATCTTCATCAAAGCTGGACATTTTCAGCATGTGGGTTGTTGTTTTAAGATTGCTGATTGTCTTTGTGAAGGAGGTGTTGAAAGCAGCAACGGCATTAAGGAGAATGCTCAAAATCAACAATTACATTATTTTTATGTTACACCTCTAAAGCCCATTGTAGTTGATGCTACACTTATCTGAATAACTTCCAAATGCCATCATTTTACATTTAAATTTTTTTTCATTTACCCTTTATTTATTTAGGTAGTCTCATTGAGCCACGAGAACTCATATTCAAGATTTTAATTGTTTCCACTAAAGGTTTTGAACTTGAATAAATGTTGTTTTACCATCCTAAGTGCAGTTTGTTACATGATGCTGTTTGTTTGCCATCAGGAATCAGGGGATGACGAATATCACGGAGAACATTCAGACACAGAGGATGAGGTCGACAGCGACTTTGACATCGATGAAGGTGACGAGCCAGACAGTGACCATGAGGAAGATGCACCTCGGAGAAAAAGTCGGGTTGTCACTAAAGCTTATAAGGTATGTACTCAGAGATTCACAAAGTTAACTGTTTTTTTCTTCTTGTACTTTTACCACATGATTAATTTTTAATTAAATTGATTTATTCAGCACCTTAAAAAAACAACTATTGTTGTACACACATAGTATAAAGATGATACCAAACACTAGAGACCATAAGAACAACCAAAAATAGAACAATTACCGTAAATATATTTTTAAATAACATTGTAAGGACAATAGAAACATACTTAAGCCCTAGCTCAGGGACTAAACCAGATCTCAGAAACATTGGCATCATTTTTGATTCTGAATGCCATTCTCGTGGATTAATCAGAAATTGCTTTTATCAACTAGGATTAAGTCTCTTGTGTCAAAAGCCGAATTAGAGATGATTATCCATGCTTTTATTACATCCCGTCTGGATTATTGTAACAGTCTTTTCATTTGTTTGACCAAGGAGGATCTTGATCGTTTGCAGACGGTCCAGAATGCTGCTGCAAGGCTTTTCACTCACACACAGAAAACACAGCACATAACGCCAGTTTTTATCTCTTTACATGGTCTACCAGTACATTTTAGAATTTATTTTAAAATTTTAGTTCTTACTTTTAGAGCCCTACTCCTCTTCTCTGAGCCTCTTCCATTCAAAGGCTGTTACTGGTCCCACAGACTCATTTTAAGACCAGAGGGGATGAAGCTTTTACGGCTGTGGCCCCCAGACTGTGGAATGTGTTGCCTCTGATTTTTGCACTGTCTTGATTCTCTTAATACTTTTAAAAAGCAGCTGAAGACACATTTGTTCAGAATGGCTTTTAATTATTTTTATTTTTATCTTATGTCATACGCATGCTGTTTTTATCTTTTATCATTTGTGTTTTTATGTCTTATGTTCTGTAAAGCACTTTGTAGTTTCTGACCTGTAAAAGGAGCTATATAAATAAAATCTACTTACTTACTAAACAGCAAAAGTGTTTGCAATGTTTGTTTGGCTTTAAAATATTTAAAGCGAAAATGATCTTATTTTGCTGTTTTATCACTCATTTTTATAAACAAACAGAAAAATACATCTCAAAACTTAACAGGATACTGAAAGCGTTTTCATTTGACAGATTATTTTCTGTCTCAGTAAATACGAAGTTAAAGAGCATTCAAAGTCTGCTAAATGTTTTTCATGTTGTAACTATAATTTTTTATTATAAACTATTTGATCGTAGTTGGCTCAAACTCATAGGAGAATAAAAATGAAGTTCTGATCATTGTGATTTGTCTTTATTCCATCAAAGGAGCCTATAAAAGTGACAAAACCAAAACCTAAAAAACCCAGTGAGGAGCACAAAAAGTCTGAAAAAACCAAAGTGGAGCTCAAAAGAAGGATTCCACAAGAGTTCCAAGATTTTGGTGAATGTAAGTTCCCAACGAACGCCTGTGTTATGTTTTTCATCTTCTCAAGCTACACTAAGGGTTTTTTTTTTTAGATCATTCTTTCACATAAAATTTGCTTCCTGTTGATGCATGAGCTCTGTTCCTTGTATTTTTGTCTTAAGCTCGTAAGTCGGTGCGACAGTCGACCAGCGAACACACGAGGAAAACCAACCTGCGCTTACAGGAGCGTCAGGATGCTCCTCGCAGACGGAGAGGCGCTCATCGGGACCGACCGCTAACGCAAGAGGAACTGCTGGCAGAGGCGAAAGTAACTGCCGAGCTCAACATCCGATCTCTGGGTGAGAACTTGTTCACGTATCATTCAGAAGTTACAACAAATAAACTTGGACACATTTTTTTAATTTTTTTTCTCATTTTCTAGAGAGTGATTGGTTATTATAAGTCAACATAAAAGGCAAAAATAAATCATGTAATGTTTCATTAAATGAACAAAAGTAATTTATGAAGTATTAAAATGAAGCTGTGCAAGTGTTTGTGTCTTCCTGGTCATTTTTGCCCAGAGTTTAAACAGTTGAAAACTTTACAGAGGTTTTTTTTTTTTTAACTGATTTTGTACATTGCAAAACACTTTTTTTAATATCTCTGTAGAAAACTATGAGCGTTTGGAAGCAGACAAGAAGAAGCAAGTCCATAAGAAGCGTCGTTTTGAGGGACCAACCATTCGTTATCACTCAGTCCTCATGCCGCTCGTCTCCCAGTCCCTTCTCAAAGAAGAAAACGTTGACGTCGAAGGGTATGTATGACCATTTATGATGATTTACTTTAATTTTGTATGAATGCACTGTAAATAGTCTTTTAAAAATAACAATAATCAACGGCTTTAATCCCATTTGTCACAGTTTGGATCAGGATGTTTCTCAGACGGCGCCACAAAATCCCGCCACACCCTCCCAGCAGCCCACTGGAGGCCTGTGCTCCAGGACTTTCATAACGTTCAGCGACGAAGAAGCTTTCGATGCGACCTTCGCTCGCAGCGCCCAGTCAAGCCCTCAGCTCCCAGTCCAGGAGATTTGTCCCGTCACCCACAAGGCGGCGCTGTACCGAGACCCGGTCACAGATATACCTTACGCCAACGCCCGAGCCTTCCGCATTATCCGAGAAGCGTACCGTAAATACGTGGCAGCTCACGGGTTTCCAAACACTTCAGGAGGCGGGGTGGGAGGTGACTCCTCTGCCATGAAGGGCGCCCGCCAGAAAATGGTTGTTAAACAGACTGCTGTTGTATAAACCTTGATGCCACGTAGATTGTATTTATGTTTTTTTTTTTTACGTTTACCTACCCTTCATTCTTCAGTTGTTTAGTCAGAGGGTTTTAACTCGCCTCATATAAATCAGTTTTTGGATTTCCATAAACGGCAGGGTGTCTGTCTTATTAATTCTGAATGTAGGAAAATACATTTTTAATTATTTAGACCGGATGAGGCAAAGTGCATGAAAACCCACAGTAAGATCTGTTTGTTGAATTCTAAATGGGATTGTGTCTGCAGCTTGATTTTTTTTTGTATCTTTTAATATTTGATCCTTTTTACTGTTGTGTTTTTGTTTTGTTTCTATAAATACGCATCTCAAAAAATAAAAATATTTTAAATCTTAATATTTTCCTTGACCTTTATTAAAAGTTGCAGCAGTTTTTTTTTTTTTTTTGGAGAACTACCGGCAGTAATCTCGTTACATATTGCACTAAACCTGGAGAATATGTAGATCTGTTAAGTGGAGAAAATGAGGTCAATGCATTATGTTTTGAAATAGTTTGCTGTGGCGGCCATCTTGATTTTGGTTGGCTCCGACAGACTGACTTGACTCCAAAGAAGTGGCAAAATTTAAACAAAGCTGTAGCACAATCTGTTCGAGATCAGTCACAGCTGCTAGCACACCAAGTTTTGTCAAAACAATTCTAGTAGATTTAGTTTTTTTGAAGGTCCGTTGGCTGTGGCAGCCATCTTAAATAATGCTGACTTGAAAGTCAATCAGTTGTAAATGCATTGATTACGTTCTGCAAGTTTCTGGATCATGAGATATTTTGATAAAAAGACGTGAGCAAATTTTTTTTTGCCTTTTGGCAGAGGGTGAAAGAAGTGACAAAATATGTGACTAAATACAGTGACTGAAAACTAAACTGGCTGAATACACTTAAGTAGTCTTGGGAACTTAATTATTCTTTATTTAAAATTAAATTTAGTACCAAATTTTTACACAGTTTTTTTTTTTTTTTCAAATTAAAACTCAATGATTTTTTTAGTCTAGTGTTTTTGTGGAAAAGCCAGCCATTGGGGAGCACAAGCCAGTATCCCTTGTGCCGGTCCCAAGTCTGTTTAAATGGTGAGGGTTGTGTCAGGAAGGGCATCTGATGTAAAACACTTTTGCCAAAATTAACGTGCGAGTTCATCTAAGTGATACCATACCAGATTGGTTGGCCCGGGTTAACAATGACCACCACAAGTGCTGTTGACAAACGGTGCCAGTGGAAATTGTGAAACTGTTAGTCAAAGACTATGAGGAGAGAAACATGTCGGGACAGAGAAGAGGAAAGTCATGAATGTAGGACTAATGGTGGCAACACTAAATGTGGGGACAATGACGGGCAAAGGTAGAGAGCTGGCTGACATGATGCAGAGAAGGAAGGTAGGTTTATGCGTCCAAGAGACCAAGTGGAAGGGCAGCAAGGCTCATAGCATTGGAGCAGGGTTCAAAATGTTTTACCATGGTGTGGATAGAAAGAAAAATGGAGTAAGGGTGGTCCTGAAGGAGGAGTGGGCAAAGAATAGTAGAGGCAAAAAGTGTGTCAATGATGTGATTGAAAGTAGAACTAGAAGGTTTGATGTAAAATGGTGTCAGTGGTTATGCTCCACAGGTTGGATGTGATATAAAGGAGAAAGAAAAATTTTGGAAATATCTGGATGAAATGATAGAGAGTATTCCCAGGGAGGAGAGAGTGATGATCAGCAGACCTGAATGGACATGTTGCTGAAGGAAACAGAGGGGATGAGGAAGTGATGGGTAGGTTTGGTGTCAAGGAAAGATACCAAGAAGATAGATGGTGGTGGATTTCATCAAGAGAATATAAATGGTTGTAGTCAATACTTAGTTCCAAAAGAAGGAGGAACACAGTGACCTATAAGAGTGGAGGCAGGAGTATGCAGGTTGACTACGTTCTGTGTAGAAGAGGAAACCTGAGGGAGATTGGGAAATGTAAGGTTGTGGCAGGGGACAGCATGGCTAGACAGCATCAGATGGCTGTGTGTAGAATTTCCTGTTGTTGCAAAGAATATAAAAAAGTTTAATTAAAGAAGACAAAATGGTGGAAGCTGAAGAAAGAAGAATATAAGGAGTTTCAAAAAGAGTTGTTAAAGGGTCTGGGTGGTAAGAAAGAGCTTCCAGATAACTGGGCTACACTAATTAAAGAGACCGGTAGGAATGCACTTGGTGTGTCATCTGGACAGAGCATAGATGATAGCAAAACCTGGTGGAAGAATAGTGAAGTGTTGGAAGCTATTCAAAGAAAGAGGTTAGCCAAGAAGAAATGTGACAGAGGACTGAAGAGAGGAGACATGAATATAAGGAGATGCAACGTAGAGAAAAGAGGATGATAGCAAATGCAAAACAGAAAGCATATGATGGTGTGGGGGAGGCTGGACACTAAAGAAGTGAGAAGGACTTGTACCAATTGTCAAATCAGAGGGATCAGGCTGGAAAGGATGTGCAGCAGGTTAGGCTTGTTAAAGA